TAAAGTTAGCTCCACCCAAAAAAGCTCCAGCGTTTAAAGGCTACCTGTACGTTTTGAGAAGTGACTTACTTAGACAAGAATGTTCAAAAAGGTAACAGAACATAGGTCAGAAAGAGAAAAAAGTATGATCCACACATTTATTGAGATAATAACTGAACTGCAAATGTGTGGATTATCTTGTTTTTTAATCACAAAAATCGTATTTAGAAAAACTCCTATTTAGATTTTAGCGCATGAAGCTTTTTACTTTCTTGAGCTTAACGCTTAAAGCTGCGTTATTTTCTGTAAAAAAAAAAATAAATACAAAAAAAAACTATGTGTAGATGGTGGCACAATAATCCAGTGTTTAGCAAGAAGGTTCTACTGACCTTCTGTTTGGAGTTTGCATGTTCTTAATGCGTCTGAGTGGGTTTTCTCCAGGTGTTCCGGCTTCTCCAGTCAAAACACATGCATGGAAGGTGAATTGGTGACTCTAAATTGATCGTAGGTGTGAGTGTGACCATGCATGTTTGCCCTGTAAAGCACTGGAAAGCTGTTTAGGATGGATGGACTATAAGTTATGCTGACGGTGTTGCTTGTTGTGACAAATCAGCAACGAATTATCACCCCATTTTAGCACCTTTCAGCTCCTTGCTTTGGTTTTACGGTTCATAACTTTACTGTTTTAGTTCAGGCTTTCATCAGCCTTCTTTCAATATGCAGCAGGCAGCTGCTCTCACCAAAAGAAAACTTTGAAAAAAACAAAACCTGCATAGCACCAACTAGCAGGCAGAGAAAGTTAGTGAATTGCTGGTGAGCATTTAGCAGCTCCCCTTAGTCGTCAGTAGAGGTCAAAGCAAACAAAAAAGAAAAATGACAATTGACGTTATCATCATCGCCACCAGAAACTTTCCTCTGACTGAACGACGATATCGCTCTGCTTGATGTGTACATAACAGATTATTTGCGAATTTGCGAACATGTTCGTCATGTCAAGGTGATGATATGTCAAAATTGTGGTTGCAGTGCTGCCCCCTATTGGTCAAAACTCTGTCTTAGGATGTGCAGAAATCACCTTAAAAAAGGTGCAGTTTTCTCCTAAATTCTCAACATCTCTATATACACAGTCTGTACATAATTTAAAGAGACAATGATTTAAAAAAAAAAAAAATCACTTTTATTCATAGTGATCTGTGTGCTCATGGACTGGTAAGTAAACATACATAGCATTATATAAAACACAGTCTAGTAACTTCCACACTCTTCTATTAATTAGACATATTGTGTTAAGTCATTCTCTCAACCACAGGATAAACTACAAAGATGGACGGACACTTGCTATCACATCTACTGGTACAACACAGGAAAATGAGTTGCTATTTGTGCTTTTCCTTCAACACCATTCAATGTAAAAAAAAACAAACAAACAAAACTGCTACACAACATATTCCTCATTTTGTATAAAATATATTACATCCTACGTACCAAATCATCGTAGTGGGGTAATTAATAATACTAACACGGAGTTGTTTTTTTAAAAAAGTGCTTTTACAGTATCATTCGAGTTGTAACACAAAAAAAAATATCTGTATATATTTACAAGTGGTGTATAGAGTGGTAGTGGTTTGTGTGTTCAGTCTCACAGGTAGGTGTCACATGGGAGGAAGCTAAGATCAGTCACAAGGACAAAAGGTTGAGTGCTCAGGCTGCTTACGTAACACAAAACACAAGCTGAGGAATAGTTTTCAACACCTTCTCCCTTCCTTTCTCCCAAATCATACGGTATGTTTTTCTATTCGTGTCACATTCAGTATCTCGCAAAGCCTGCTCCTTCCTTTCTCTCTCACACGCTGTCCAAATACTGAGGTATGTGGTTTGATTTCACAGGAAATAGTCTCACATTCTTCAAAATCTCTTGTCTTGTTATCCAGACCAGACTTCTTCTGGCAGCAGGTGGGTGTTGGTACGTGCGGAGGGGGGACGGAGGTGGGAGGTTGTGAGGTTTAGCAGACGGTGTGGTGGGGTGACAGGGGGCTGTCCGGGGTCTCGGTCGGAGACAAATCCGAACTGGAGCTTTTGAACATGGATGAAATGTGAAAGGCCTGGAGGGGAGGGGAAAACAGAAAAGATGCAACTTGAGGCTTAAGCAGACTTTGACATGTGGACACACATTGATGCACAAAAACAAACAGACAAGGTGTACTGACCACCCAGTAAGCAGTGAGAGCTCCCTGTATGTAGCCCGTTATCACGTCGGACGGGTGGTGCCTGTAGTCGGAGATGCGGGTCAGGCCCGTGTAGACCGCCAGCAGAACCAGGAAAAACTGCAGCACCGGCCTCAGCAGCCGAGCGCCGCGCCATGTCAGCCGCGCCTGCAGGTAAAACTACAGGACAGACACAAAATATGACGTTATTTACTGCAGCACACAATACGTTAAGGTAAGTTAATAATAGCCAGGATGTTTACAGGCTCGGGTTTGCATAGCAGAAAGATAAAGGTAATTCTTAAATACTGGCCAAATGCCCTCCTTAAGCTCCCAGACGGGGCAAAAGGTATCACTTCTTTGATCAGAGACTTGAAGAATCTTTGCCTTAAGGCACTTTCTGTCAGTTCTAACTTGAATTTTTCTCTCGCTTTCTTCCAGAATTATGAGATCCAGCACATCAAACATACAGTAATCATTGAACTGGGGCAGCTTCTTGGAGAACTTGTGATACAGATCATGATAAATAATGTTAAATGGCGAATTAATAAGTCTCTCATCTTCTGAGATCCAGATAAAAGTAAGAATGATTTTATAACTGTTCCTATTCTTCAGTACTTTTAAATCACTGGTGTCCAATGAAGCCCTCACATTGTTTAAAAGAAACACTGCTCACAATGCTCTAAACACCTGATACTGAGAGGAGACAGACTATCAAAGGACACTCTGCTGGGAGTCGACTCTTGCCGTCATCTGACCTGCTGGCTGCTGCTTTTGTGACCCTGCAGTTCATCTGCTAACACAGCTGGTGTAAGAATCACATGTGAGTAACTGAGCTTCATGAAAAAAGGCACAGTCGGGATAAAGACAAGACTGTATGTGCACAATTTTGCCCTTAATTTTAGTCATGTAGCAGTCAGTAAGTTGGTAAGTTTAACAAAACAAAGCCTTAAAATGATAATGATCCACATCCTCAAGTTAAAGAAGACGTCCAGATGTTTGCTTCTGGAGCGACAGCTGTCAAAACCGCCCCCACTGCGCTTCATTAAAACACTGAAGGCTGTTAGCAGTGAGGGAAAGTAACTTAAGTACAATTACTCAAGTGCTGTGCTGAAGTACAATTTTTAAGTACTTTAGTATTTCCTTTTTTTTATTTTTTTTTTGCTTCTTCATACATGCACTCCACCACATTGCAGAAGAAAATATTCTACTTTCCACTCCACTACATTTATTTGACAGCTTGACATTTATTTGACAGCTTTTTTTTTTTTTTTAAAGATGGAGATTTTCCCACAATGGATAATATAACAAGCTTTTTAAAAAGCAACACATTGTTAAAGATTAAACCAGTGGTTTTCAACATTTTTGGCTTCCTACAAAAAGCAGTGTGTAGTCAGATGTCTGTGAGTGGTTAACGGTTACACAAAATAGTCATTTTCCTGTCTAAACTACTCAGTTCAGTGCAGTCTGATTCAATATCGCACCATAAATTAAACGTTTGAGGAAAAAGATCGGAAAATTGAAAACAGATTTGTGTATCAGAACTTCTTTTTTTTTTCTTTCCTCCCAATTAATCATATCTGGAGCCGTCACATTCATCTGCTGTCTCTGCATATAAGGCTGTATATAAAGTAGTTCAAAGCTGCAGCAGCTACAACAGCAACATGCTGCTGACACACAGATGCTCCACCAATAATAATGTAATGATGCCATATATAATCAGTCAAACTTCGTACTTCGACTACATTTTCCTGCTAAGTTACTTACTTAAGCAGGATATGTCTTTCTTTCTTTTCCTTGCAAAGGATTATTTTCACATTACTCCACCTAAATAAATGATCTGAATATTTCTTCTAGCGCTGGAACAAAATATATAAAAATAGTTGGTTTCACTTTCAAAACAACACCATCAGATAGGATGTCAGCAAGTGACTTTTTTGCATCTTTTTCAATGCTATATTATACAGCAGGTGCAATAAGTGCTGCTGTTAACTTCAGTATCTTGTTGTTGCGTTCCCTCGTCACCCTTACTGGCCTTGCAGCGGCAGTAAAAGAGTCTTTGGGTGGTGCCTGGGCTCAGCTGTCTTCATTGTCCACTCCTGAGTTAAGTGCGGATAAAAGGAAGGCCTTAGGTGGCTTGTCAACACTCTTTACTGCTCACCGTGCGCCCCCTCGGTTTGAACTTTCAGTATTTACAGAAATAAAAACCCATTTTTGCAAACTCTGCTCTCGTTTTGCACTTCATGCTGCAGCCCTCGAGCCGGGTTGTAACATTTGTTGATGCTGAGGTTAAAGTCTAAATCCTGGCCAGACCTTGCTGCTGCATAACATTCCCAGTCACTTATTATGTCCTCGGGTGCTATGCAAAACACTGTGGGGGAACTATAGAAAAGCAGCACACTGTAGTTTCTTAAAGTTGAGCTTTTCAGCTGCAAACACATTTGAATTCCCGTTGATGCAGCCCTCAAGTGTGCATACAAATGAGCGCGCACATATTCAGCCACTTGCATGCACAAACATAGGCTTTCATATACGCATATAAATGCAGGAGGCTTACACACACAAACACACACATACACTGTCGCACAATAGAGCAGAGCAGTGAGACGGTGAGGCGAGGTCACACTCCTCCCACAGCCGAACAAAGCAGCCTCTGTTTGTCCCATATCTCCCCTCAGTCCCTCTCCTCTTTCATTCTTTTTTTTTTTTTTGCTGCTAACTGGACTGATGATGAGTTCCTGTTTCATTCATTCTCTCTCTGCATTTTATAGAGTGATGGTAATTGCAAATTGGAATGACAGTCAATTTTGTTTGCCAGCATAAGTGTGTGCGTGTGAGAGAATATGTGTGAAAAAGAGGCAAATGGGTGAATAGAGATGGAGGTACTCACTGCTAAATAGAGCATTGTGTACATAGCAAAGGAAGCATGGCCGGAGAAGAAGGACTTCCTAAAAAAAAAAAAATGAAGAAGTGTTTAGGGTAATGCAGAACACATTACATAACATAAATTCATAAAACACACACACATACACATACCTGGCTTCCTCCTCTAATCGGTGATCTGGCTGGCGACAGGTCACCGATGCAACGTAGGTTCCAGGTGTGCAGTTGAGCGATGCATAGGTGACGCCGCACACAGACAGGAAGTGGGGTCGCAGTCGTCCCACACTGAGTTTAGCCATGTTGGTCAACGACTGACCAACACAGCAGCCAAACAGGAAGCAGCCCAGCTCCTTGTAGAGACAGGACACATACAGGTTCCTGACGAAGGCCTTGGAGCTGACGCCTCGGAAGCGCACCCGGTAACATTCCCCGAGGGCGATCTAGAGGTGGGCACGTAGGCAGAATCACCGTTACATCCTCCTCACGAGCTGGGGCACGTTGTGCGATTAATAAGAACAGATCGACTGCTATGACAGGAATGGTGACGAGTACTCACGGTGAGGCCGGTGATGATGATGCCACCTGCGATGAGTAATTCGTCTGGTATGGCTTCGCTGTGCAGGTAAGGATAGGTGATGCTGGGGTCCCCACACATGAAGCCCCGTCTGTAAGGACTCACTGCCTTCAGCTCACACGCAAAGAAAGGGATGGAGGCTGCACAGGAGGAGGAGGAGGACGAAAAGACCAATTAGACTAAGTAAGGCATCATTTGACATGACAACAATTGCCAGTAACTGGGGATTACACAAGAGGAAGAGAAAAGAGGCGCGACGAAGAAAAACTGGAGTGGAAACTGCCACCCAAAACATGCTCGTCTGTCTGTTGTTCAAGCTCTTATTGTGAAATCCAGTCATCTAAATGCACTGTCTACGATGGACTATCATTAAACTTTTTCAAATGATCCTGCAAATGTAATGCCGATGGTTCTAAAGCTAACCAAAATGGTACTTCTTTCCAATACATTACTGTTCTGGTCTGTAAGTGTTTGCTTTTTAGCCATTGTGGCTCGAGGGATAACATTGGTCGATCAGGCGGCTGGTCTTCGGTCCAGACCAAAATGGCTCAACACATGTTGGATAGATTGGTATTAAACAACCACTTATGGTTCTTGTGGTTCTCAGAGGATGAATCCAAACCACTCTGGCAATCCTATCACCCCCCAGCCTCACTGAGCTGCTGGATGTAGAACCACCTTGTTTTCCTTTAACAAAAGAAGCCAAACTTCTCAGATTTTAAATGTTGCTTCCCAAGCACTTTGCCTTAAAAGCCTGAAATAAGTTCTCGCACAGCAAAAATTGCATTACAGCCAAAAACTGGCATAATGGGATCTGTTTTAATTCCAGTGTTTAATACTTGGCAGCTCCAGACACATTTCCAAAGTATTGATGTTCAGTTCTCAGTGCTGGTGCCCTTGACTTTTCATCTGTGTCACCCACCAAGAGACACATTCAGCATCCTCGTAATCACAGATGAAAGTAATAAGGTCAGAGCAGAAATTCAAAAGCTATAAAAAAAACATACAGGGAATGTGACTTGGGGGGATTGAGGAAAGGAGAAAAGGTCAGGCGAGGAATGGTTTTACAGAAAAACAAGGGTGGGAACCCCGAGTTTTTCTCTGTCAGGAATGCGCGGGTCACAACAACACTTGCTCCACGGGGACCAGAAGAAACCCAGAGAAGCAGCAGCAGAAAGCTCCCATTTCCTGGCTGAATACAGGCTGAATCCACAGAGACTGGAAGCAGAAGAGAGTAGCAAGGCAGAGCTCAACAAAGACCCAGTTTGAACTGCGCATGTGTGTGTGTGTGTGTGTGTGTGTGTGTGTGTGCATTTCTGTTGATGAGGAGAGAAAGCAGGAGGGGGGGTTGTTTGTGACTCCAGTTCAACTCTTCCCAACAAAACAAAGAGTAAATGCCGCAGCAGACCAGAGCCAGAACCAGCCTCACACGGTCCCTGTTTGTCTCTGGATGTCCTCCCCTCCTCTCTCTCTCTCTCTCTCTCTCTCTCTCTCTCTCTCTCTCTCTCTCTCTCTGTCTGTGTCCTGCATGCCTGCACACACAGAGAAGACAGACGGGTGGGGATGAGACAGACAGACAGACAGACAAAGAAACAGGGACTTCTTGCAGGGCTCCCTCCCTCTCTCCACATATCCAATCTGTTGTTAATACAGGCGACTTCTACTGTCCAGCTTTTTCCAATTAGCCGACATTACATAACCACCGTCCTGCTGTATACTGGGACCATAAGCAGAGAGGGTCCACAGAGTCACGGGCACACACAAACACACACAAACACACATAAATCCAGCGCTCGTGGATCGTACACTTATTTATTTATTCAAAATTGAATTCCCCCTGGCCCGACTCTACCCTGAGAACTGGAGGGTTGTCATGGAAACTGTACAGTTCCCTGGGCAATGCACGAACCAGCTGGTACGGAGACCTCGAGAGCGCGCATGAGTGGGAAAAAAAAAAAAAAAAAGAGGAGATACATGCAGAAGGAGAGTTTCTGTCTTTTCATTGTTTTGTTTTTCTTCCTCCTTGTTATTTTGCTTCTTGTTTTCTGAAAGCCCCATCATTACTAATCATGACTAAACTCAAAAGAATAAAAAAAAGAGGATGGAAATAAAGCAGAACAGAACTCAGCGAGGGTGCAGTTAACTCCCACTAGGAAGGAATAACAAGTGCAAAGAGGATTTCCCCCCTCAGTGGTTTAATAAAGTTAAACATGAATGGATACTGTATGAACAACTAAACCTCTGGACCTAACAGTTACATTTATTGTAAATCAATACGCTTAAAATGCATAATACACCCACAATGGTGGTGTCAGATTGATTGTTTTCTCCAAGATGCGATGAAAGATTTTAAACAAATGATCATAAATAGCAAAGAAAAGAAGCAAATCCTGACAAGTGATTTGCTGGAATCTGAGAATAATTTGCGCTTTTACTTACTGATGATTATTGATTAATTAGTAACTGTTTCCTCTTTGCTGATGTACATGAGAGAGAAAAATCTGTGAAAGTACAAGTGCCTCCTCCCACTGGTTTGTATGAATGGACAAGAAATCAGAAACAGTATATTAAAGTCAATTCTTGCTCAAACACTAATAAACTGAGAGATATGATGCATTACTTTTATTGTTAATTAAGATGCTTGAAATGTAAAATACACCCACAAAGGTGGAATTTTTGTTTCCTCCAACAAGCAAGAGAACATGAAAGATATTAAATTAATTGTCATAAATCACAAAGAAATAAATTAAGCTGGAGTCTGATAATATATAGTATTTGAACTGTTAATTGCTGAACACACTATAATAAACTAAATTATATTATGCACTTCACTGCTATTCTGTTGCAGTGCGTTATTTTGTGCATTTACAAAGTACAATAATAAAGTACAATTTTAATCAGCATTCAAAAGTAGTGAAATATTTACCAAGGAAGAGGCAGAGGAGGTCCAAGCCCACCAGAAGTTTTCTTTTGGATAAAGCCGGTCCGCTGATCTCTATGAGTTTCTTCCCACTGCCACTCTCCATCCCGGACAGGCTGCTCTTGTTGTCCGTCAGTTTGAGCTGGAGGTCCGCGCTGGAGACGTGCGCACCGGCGCTCTGCGGTCCAAACTTATCCAACATGACGACTGGCTGCGGGCTGAAGGACTCTCTGGCATCAGAAGGTTACAGGATCTTCCTCTTCAACTTCTCCTCATGTGCGGAGCCGAAAGGAGACTGGAAGCAAATCCACAAGTTGGCACAGTATTTAATGTGCTCCCTGCGGCACGTGTTGACGCGTCAAAGTCAAGGGAGTTTTTTTTTACGCATATTTAATGTCTTCGCAGGAGGCTGCAGGGCTCGTCCCGACTCGTCCCAGGGCGATCCGTCACCTTGAAGATATGCAGGAAGTTTGCGAAACTCAGGGATAAGATCTGCCTCCTTCCCTGTCTCTCCCTCTCTCTCTCCCGGAACATCAGAAAAAATGGGACGAGGGTGTAAATAAATTCCACTGGAGAAAAAAAAAAGGGAAAAAAAAAAAAAGCAAATGCATCAGACTTGCACGTCACAGTGACGGTGGTTGCATGGATGCAGGCAGGAGATTCCTTTTTTTTTCATCATCATGAACTTTCACCTATATTTTTATGACAGATTTAGCCTCAATTGACAAAATTGGAATAAATGAACAACTATAGTAGGCAAAATAAGATTCTTAACTGTCCGCAGCCTCAGTAAGACAGTATTTTCAAGTGTTTTGATAAAACCAACAAACCAAAAAAAACTATGTGCTATGATTTAGATAAGTCAGTGTTTCTCCCTTCTATTTGTCTCTTAGAATCAGAAGATTCTCAAGAAACTCTGGGGATGTCAACGGACGTCCAGCTTGCTTCCTACAGGAGTTCAGAGAAGAGGTTGCTTGGGGAAACCTTGATGGTTTAAAATAAGTTTCTGGGGTTCTGGGGGGTCAATTTTTGATTAAAAACCAACCCCAAAACCAAAAAAAAGGCCTAGTGGAGTTGTGACTGTAATTTCTAGCGATTGGTTTTGTATATTTAGGCAAAATGAAATCTTGCCTGACTTTGTGGTTTGTGTGCAAATGGAGTCTTGACTCTAATGCCGAAATGTAAAAAACTAATTCACTTCTTTTATTTCACAACATCTCTGTATTGACTAATATTTTTTCTTATGTTTGCAGGTAAATAAATCCACTATAGTAATTCTACAAATAATAATAGTAGCATTAGAGAGTTTAACATGGAAGCCCAAGCTCCACAAAATCATTCTTCCTCATCCAACTATTCTGAACTCAATGGCAACAATGTGGAACCCCAAAAGGTTCATCGAAGCTCGTCAACTTCTAAGAGTCTAGGTTAATAATGCAATTACATGCTTTTCTAAACAATGCATTAATCAATAAAAAAAAAAAACACTACAAATCTGTATAAAGTAGCATAGCACAAGATAAAATAGAAAAAAAAACTGTCCAAAATAGAGTGGAAATGAAACAGAAGTCTAAATATTGCCATATGCGTCAGGTTCTAAATGTGCCGCTTCTGTCATATTAATTATTTGAATTACTGAAGCGATTTGATTAATTTTATTTGTTGCTTTTATTCTTATTTACTTTTTGTTCAGTTGCTTGTTTTTTTTTTCTTGTGTGTTGATGATGTGACTCAGAAAAATAAATAAACCAGCTGAAAACAAAAATGATCTTTTGCACTGATGCCATAGAAAAAAACCCACATTTTTAGTTCCACAACCCCCAAAGGTTCTTGAAAGAGCCATCCAAAAAAATGGTTCCTTTAGGCATCATAAAAGGCGCTACATTTTAAAGACAGCTCTTCGTGGACACATCTGGTTCTTTTATGAAAATAAGACTTTGCAGCGAGGACTTTGCAGTATTTCTGGGCTCCTTCCATTATATGGCGATGAAATCGTCTGCTGAGGTTCTGGAGCAGGACCACACCTCCATCACTCCTCTTCCTGTTTACATCTATACACACCACTCTGACCTTCCCTCTGGTTTCGTCTCACTTGTCGTCCGCAGAGCAACATGATGCCACAGTTCAGCCGCGCTGCCAGTCTCAAAGTTTGAGTAAACTCTTCCATCCATGAGGGAACATTCAGGCCGGCTCCACATCTCCTCCACGTCGATCCACCTAATCCACAACATGGCCCCAGAAACGAGGAGACCGTTGGTCCAGAAGGGATGACTCGAATCAGAACTCGTCTCTCTGTCCTCCAGCCGCTTCAGTCTCACCTCATCCGATCCCATCTACAACCAGGGAGGCTGGTCTCAGGAAGACCAAACCATAATCACTCCCTAACTTCTACTCGTTCCTGCGTTGAAGTCCGATGCAGACGAGCCGAGCGGACTGTCGTGGGTCTTCAGAAATCAGTAAGAGAAAGTCTTCACCTGCCAGCCTGACAACAAAGTTATACTATTTAAACATCTGACAAACTGCAGGAGCTTATATCAGTGATAAACCACAACAATCCGCCTTCTGGCAGATGCCTCCGCTGCATGTGACATCATTACGCCAGTTGTAGCTCCACCCGTTTTATTTATTTATTACCTCCGCCAAGGAGGTTATGTTTTAGCTGGCGTTTATCTGTTTGTTTGTTTGTTGGTTGGTTTGCTAGCAAAATTGCTCAAAAAGTAATGAATTGATTTTCATGAAATTTTCAGGAAATGTTGATAATGGCACAATGAACAGATGCTAAAATTTTGGTGATGTTCTGGCTTACCATCCGACTATTTTCTCATAAAACAGCAAATGCTGTTAAGTGTCACAGTCACGCAGAATGCTGTCGTTGTGCTGTTTGTCCACTAGATGGAGCTCTGACTCCATTCAGTCCTTTAGTCCTCATTGCTGTCTTCTCAGTAGTACAGGAGTGAGCTACAGCCAGGCTACATTACAGGAGTGGGCTGATCAGAGCTACTGACAGATAAGTTCATAACGACGTTGTGGTGGGCTGGAGTCTATCCCAGCCGACTCAGGGTGAAGGCAGGGGACACCCTGGACAGGTCGCCAGTCTGTCACAGGGCTACACTTAGAGACAGACAACCAAGCACACTCACATTCACACCTACGGACAATTTAGAATCACCAATTAACCTCAACATGTTTTTGGACTGTGTGGGGGAGAAGCCGGAGAACCTGGAGAGAACCCACGCTGCATGGGGAGAACATGCAAACTCCACACAGAAAGATCCCAGGCGCCCTAATTGCGAATTGGGGATCTTCTAGCTGCGAGGCGACGATGCGAACTACCGAGCCACCTTGCAGTCCTTACTTATTTACTTATTTACGCATTTATTTGACTGTCATTGCCTTAAGCGGGCTGTGATGCCCTCCACCTCCTGCTCTGCCTATTTGCAGCCTTCCTTTCTCCATCTTCTCCCTCCTTTACCTTCCTCTCATGTGGGTGTGAGTGAGGTGTGTATGTGTGGAATGTGTGCAGGTGCAGGCCTTTGGATAATTACCTGTGTAGGCACACCTGCGGTGGGGAGTGCTCAACCTGCTACTCATCACTTCTGCACCATCAAAACCAGGCTCAAAACTCTGCCTTTTGAATAACCTCAGTTACTCATCTAACACGCCAAAAAGTCGCCCAAGAGGCATCTGAATCAGGTATCCACACCACCTCAAATGGCTCCGTTTGACACAAAGTAGCAACAACTCTACTGCAAGCTCCCTCCAGATGGAGAGCTCCTCTCCCTATCTCAAAGGTCATGCCCAGCCAATCTACAGAGGCAACAATTTTTTGGCCTCTTGTACTCACAATTTCATTTTTGTGGTAGGAATGTAGATTGACAGGCAAAATCGAAAGCTTCACCTTCTACCTCTAGCCGGCACTCTAGAATCAGTGTTTTTGTTGGCCTTCCTTTTTTCCTGAGACGCACAGAGTCCATTGCAACGTTGACTGACAGGTAGAGTTTGATCTGCATCACAATGCTATGGCACCTCTTCCATATCCTGTATTCGACCTGCCTGCATCTCTGGAGACTGCCTGGTCTATTCACTAAAACAAAGCCAAACCGATCAAGTGGGTAATCCAGTGAACTTCAAACTAGATTCACACCTATGCTCTTACAAATGTATTTTACACTATATCCATCCATTATCTGGGCTACAAGGTGATGCAGTTGGTTAGCACTGTTGCCTCGCAGCAAGAAGGTCGCCGATTCGCGTCCCAGTGCTACCAACTGTGCCACCTTGCAGCCCGCCACCAAACCAACAAACTTCAATACAAATGAAGAACCTGAGTACTTATATATCCTCATAAAGTATGTAAAGAACCGTCCCCTCAATAAAGAGGTTCTTCAGTTGGTATTAGTACTTTGAAGAACCAGAGAACCTTCAGAAGAATCGGCATGTTGTAATTTCATTATATTATTCGCCTCTTTCAGATAAATGTGAAAAAACAATAAAGTAAAGCCACTATAAATCCAATGATGTATGCTAATAAGTTGGCAATATAGGCAACGGTTGAAATCCTCAAGCGCCTTTTTGGCTTATAACTGATCTACTAGGATTTCATAAATGATTCATCAGCTATTAATGATCACATTCAATATTTAATGAAGAGCTTTATCCACTCTCTTGCTGCCATTAGATGACAGGACTAGCAGCTGAGAACATCTAAGTAAGCAGTCAGTTAGCTTAGCTTAGCATAAACACTGGAAACAGGGAGACAACAACTAGCCTGGCTCTGTCCAAAGGTAACCCAATCCACCTACCAGTACCTCTAAAGGCAGTTGAACAATACGCTATGTGTTGTTTGTTTATTTGTACAAGA